AGCGAGAGTGTGAAGTAAGGGAGTTGGCTGGGGTTTCTAGCCTCGGATTTTAATAATAAAGAGTAAGGGAGGGGGGTGGTTTTGAATCCTGAAACCTGAAGAAGAATCCTAGAGAAGAAGCACCAGGAGGAGAGAGACTGGTGGTGCCAACTGTTGCTGCCAACTGTTGTTGTGGACTTTGGAGGCATTTGGACTGTGGCCATCGCTGCTGGCATAGGTGTTGGGACATTGTGGGGGGAGTTGCCCTGGGGGATGAGCCATTGCCATAACATACTGGCCGTCGTTGTTATTATTACCATCTGGAGCCGGGGTTTACCCCCCCCCATTTCATCGGATTCTGAACGATTGCTCAGGGGCCTGTTACTCCTGCTGCTAAAGCAGCCCTGAGCTGTTATATACATCTTCAGAGCATCAACCACTGGGACTGGTTAAGTTCGTGCCTGAAAGTCCTGCTTCAACAAGAAGAGCCTGCCACCCATTAATGCTGCGTGAGTTCCGGTTGTAAGACATCTCATCGATCTCTAAAGAACATTGCTGCAAGGCTGGACAAGGGGGGACGTGGCTGGGAGGGCCTGGGCATTGGCGGCCTCTGAGGAGGTAGCGCTACATACATAGTCCAGATTTGTTGTCATTCTAGCAGCTTACAGTGTTATCTCAATCAGATCTCCAAAGAATGACAGAAATATCAGATTTTGAAACCTGTATCCTGAGTCAGCAAGAAGCTCTTTGAATAGATTCTGCCTAGTGTATCTGAAATATGACACCAAGTCTTTCGTTATTGTTATATCTCAAGCAGTTAAAGCTGCAATTAATTTCCATCTGCTTCAAAGTTTTTTGTTCTTTTAACTGCTGCTTGATCTTGCTCTATTTCTTCTTGATTTTATCAACCATATGAACAAATTTTGAGAAAAATACCGATTTACTGAATTTAATGTGATAAGAATCCTAAAAAAGATTACTTTTTAAGGAACAAATCCAATGGAATTTCGAATGTAAACATCTGTGAATCTCCCAACTGAATTGGGTGTCAGCAAGAGTTGCCATAAAGTAGGAGAGAATAGTTTCTGACTTGAAACCTTATTCAGTAACGTAGTGCAATTACAGCCTCCCCAGAAGCCAAAGTTGAGATGTGTTGCAGTAGAAGGGAAAGCCTGCTTCTTAAACTGGAGGCATTCTATCTTCCTAAATATAAAAGAAATTGCAAAAGCAATTTAATTAAATGTTCAGCTTACTAGCTCTCTTCAAGCAAAGTCTATAAACTTTAATTCTACACCTGTCAGGGAAAGAGAAATAAATTGTATCTTAGCACATTGCCATCTTAGTGCTCAGGAACCATTTTAAAAGGAGAAGGGAACATTAAAGATATAATATGGAGAGTATATTCAACTAATAAATGGAAACATAGTTTGTCACACATGATTAAAATTAATTCTCTAATGCACGGTATGCTAGAAAACAGTACCTCTTTTTATTCTTATCAGTTTTGAAAGGGGAATATAGAATAAGAATTGTATCTGTATCATTGGAAACATTTGTATGACCTTTCTTTTACTGTATAGTTCAAAATTATGACTGTGCTAAATGAAGGCACTTATGACACCTGGCTGAAGTTCATTTGTTGAAATGCCCCTGTGGTCATGTGATCAAAACGAGCACTTTGCAGTGCGCCTGCCCTTATCACTGTGAGATGGCTGCAACTCACCACCACTGCTACTGTGGGCCAGGAGGCCTTGACTGGGTAGGCCCACTGGCATCTGGAAATTTACTACATACCGGAAGGCCTCTGCCAGTTAGGTCCAGTGACACACACACACCTTCTCCCTCTCCACCCACCACTTTGCTGGCTGACTTCATGTTCCTGGCCAGCTTTGAGAAAGATTGTCTCTCTGGGTCTGAGGAAAATTGTCTTCACTAGCTTTTTAGCTGAGCCTTACATTGGCTAGGTATGCCTTTCAGCAACTGCAGAGAAAGGAAAAGCGAAGTAGACTCAGGCATGATGGGGCTAAGTCAGCGGTTCTCAACCTATGGGTCGCGACCCCATTTGGGGTCGATCGACCATTTCACAGGGGTCGCCAAGCAAGGCTGCCCGCCATTTTTTTCCCCTCTTCCGGCGGGTGCCTTACCTCCCTTGGGCTGGGCCAGCTGGTGGTCGGCCTGCTCCGTCTCTGCCGCTTGCCAGCTACGTCTCGGCCGGCGCAGGGGGCGGAACCACGCATGTGCGGCGCTCCCGGGCAGGGAAAGTCCTCGACTTACAACCGGTTGGGTAGTCCTCGACTTACGACGGTTTAGTCCTTGACTTACGACCGGTTTAGTCCTTGACTTACGACCAGTTGGGGGTCGCGGCATTAAAAAGGTTGAGAACCATTGGGCTAAGTGAAGGCCAGTGGTGGTGGTCGGGGGTAAAGGTCTGGCATCTTGGGATGCTGGGTGGGGGAGAAGGCCAGACTTCTTGAGATGGGGGGGAGGAAGGAAACCTGTGTGCTGCTGGGCTTAGCGAATTGAGGCCATCTGGCCCATGGCAGTTTTCCACGCCAGTGGGTGGTGGGCCTGATACTTCAGGAACTAGAATACCTGGGAATTTTAGTCGAAGTTTCTTCAGGATCTCTGCTGAATGGCTGGAATGATATGCAAGGAAGAATCTAGCTTCCAGTTTAATCATTATTTTGAATTTTTAAAGGTTCCCAGAATTCCTCATGATGTGATCAGTTGAATCTGTTTTCTTTTGTTTTAGGTACCAGGACTTAAGTCTTGAAAGAACTGGGCATTTTGTTCCTTGAATTTGATATCTGTATTGTTTTAGAATATGTAGTTATTTCCTTTAGTAGGACAATTTAAGATTATTATACCTCTGAGTGATCGGTTGTTTGATTGGCTTTTTCTAAACAGCCAGAGAGTTCTTTAAATATCCTTTTTCAAAATTTTATTCAAAGGGGAAATATTGTCAAGCCCCACTGTAGAATAATTTGTACAATGTTACTTTACTGTTTCAATTCTGGAAAACTTTAAGACACAAGCTGCGGTGACACCTTTGTAATCTTCAACCTTGATCTGAGCAAAATCCTTTATTTCCTCTTTGTTAGAAAATGGTATAGCCATTTAGTTACATTTGTGATGGCTGACAATTCATGAAGTTTTGATGAAGAGGATAATCTCTCACTGGCTTTTCTCTCACATCATATTTCCTTATATTCCACCATTACAGCCAAATCCAACATAACTAGAAGAGGTGTTATCCAGCAGTTTTCTTCTGCTTTCAGTCCTTTTGGTTATTTTGACTTGCAGAGTAATTCTGTTTACACTCAACTTCCATCTAAATCTTTGCACCACCCTTTGGGCCATCCTTTTTCAGAAATCTGCTTCTGAACTCTTTTCTATGATTCTTCACCTTCCATCATCACAAACTGCCAGTTCAGCCACCAATCACTTCCAGATCTTTTTCCAGCAAGGGAAGTCATATTTGTCTTGAGTTTCATTCCCTTCAGTCACAAAACAACTTACCCAAGAACAGCATCTATTCAGATAGCAAGCCAGATTTATGGCTTAGTCAGATCCCTGGACATTCTTGTGTGCCAGAGAGAACTAATGAGCTATCACTCGCTGGTAAAAGTAGCTTGCCATGTCATTATACAAGGCACAATGGTTTTTTCCACCTGGAACTACCTGAGAAAGAAACTATAAACAAACAGAAACCATCTGTGTTCCTATAATTAGTTCTATCTAACTACTAGTTTTCATGTCATGCTAAATTGTTTTTTTCAATTTTAGTTCAATGAGTTTATGGGAACCCAAAGCTGTAATGTATAATCTATGGCTTACAAGTCCTCATTATGAGTGCATTCAGCTTGTGTTTCCTCATTAAGCAAGTCATTGAGTCAGCTGCTTGTCTTGAGGATTTTTTCTCTTCCCAATGATGTCAGAACATGACTAATTCATCCTGGCACAATCTATTCCAGTGTTTCACAGCAACTTTTAAGACATGTAGACATCAATTCCCAGGATTTCCCACTGAGAGTTTAAGTTCAGACATCTTAAAGTTGCTCAGGTTGAGAAATACTATCTATTCAATCACTTGTTTAAAGTATAAAACATTATGGTGTACACTGACATACTAACATTATATTAGCTATGCTTCACTTCTAATCAAAGGTCATTTACCAGGGAACAGCGTTTATGTATACTGTATTAGCTACTACGAAATACATAAAATTTGGATATTTTTATATGTTTTTTAAATATACATTCTTTATGAAAATGATTTGATTTTTGGTTATTAATGTATTTATAGGCTATTGTAGATAATACATTTTGTTGTAAATAGACATCTGAGTATTATATTGCCTTTGTTCCTTAAACACTCATGCTGATTGACATAGTAAGCTATATCTCATGTAAAATATGGTTTAAACAGATACATTTAGAAAAAGAATTGTCACTATATATACTAAGAGAAGAATCTTTATACATATAGTTATTAAAGAGGTAATTTTTAGTACAGTTTGGTAAGTACAAATATTTTTCTGCTTATTTACTTTACCTGTTCTAGTTTCCAATGAACAAATATCACTGAAGTTTGTGTTTGAAACAGACCCTTTCCGATCTCCCATTATTGTAAGAAGCCATTACAAAAAAATATTTAAAAGCACAATACTATATATTGAGGAACAATTAAAATTATAAATTACATATGTAAGGAAATTGAAGAACTATCCATAAAGAATACTTATAGTGCAGAAAAAAATCTTTTTTTCTTCCTCATGCTCTCCCCATTCTCTGTTCTATCTTTTTTGTGGCTGATGCCAAAAACCTAAAGCAGGATCACAAGTGTTAGTATTTGGATGACAGCCTCTCAGATACCTCCAGAGCTTTTGGCTAGAATGGGAAGTAGAAAAACATTCTGGAAGAATACAGTGGCAAAACCTTCTATACTGTTGCTAAGAAAACAACATGGATGTGCCTGTGTAATAACTGGGAACTGAGCTTGACTCAAGGGTGATTACCTTCTCTTCAGAAAGGGACTTGTTTTTATTACACTTAAAGTACCACATTATAAATAAATAATAAACAATGTAAACATGTTCTTGGACTGTCAGTTCCCATTATCAGTTACTCTATAATAATGATGTGCATATCTCAGACTTCAAGATCAAAGAATTATCAGGCCAGAATAATCGCACAAGCAACTGTACTGTACTGTACCATACCTTACCACACACCACACACACCACACCACACTATACCATACCTTCACTACACTCTACACGTATATTATGGACTTTAAAGAATGTACTGTTTCAGCTCTAAACCACTCTACACTATTGTGGATAGTAATTACAAAAATGAGTAATAACTTTATAATTATTTACAAAGAATCCTCCAGGAATTATTAGATTATGTTTTGGACAGTAGCATTCTTATTTCTATGTGCAAACTCCCGTGAGTTTTGAATGAGCAAATATGTAATATTATGTGCTAAATTATTTTGGTAAACTATGAAAATTATTGCCTTCCTTCCAACAGACCCTTGAGGAATTAAATTCCTTTTAGATGCATAGCTATAGATAAACATTGCATACCACCATGCACATTCCTAGTACAAACCATGTGGTTGTGCTTCTGCAAGAGAGATGCCATGGAAAGAGCTTCTGTAAGATTCAAGCTGTCACTACATTTGTGCCACTTTTACTCTAAAAATGTATGCAAATCATAAGGTTGATATTCATCACAAGTACATGATTACATACTTGTAGCAACAAGACTGTTTCAGCAAGCAGGTATTCAAATGTTGTGATGCAGAACAATACTGGAAAGTGGAATAAATATGAAAATCTGAAATTGCTTCACCACCTAATTCAGCAAAAGGCAAAGAGAAAAAAATCCCGATGTCAACCTGACCATCTCAGATAAGTATTAAAAGGATAGAAAATTACAGGGAGAAAATATGTAGTCATTATTATGTTTCACCCTCTATTTATGCTTTTAACTAGTATACAGAAACCCTTTCTGCTCTGCTTTCAAAATCGTGTAATTTATGTCACAACAGTTTCTGACGTAAAATACTGAAACCATCTCCACAATTATAATTAAGAAGAGGAAAAGGAGAATCCATATCCATAGTTAGCATCATAGTAGTGGGAATCTAATTCCTGGGTCTTTCTGGTTAAATTCCACTATTTTATTCTCTATATCAAAGATATCTTGCAGATGGTTGACAATCATCATTGTGACAATCAAATATAGAAAGATGGCTGTTGAACCTGATCTGCAATTATAACATTACATTTGGCTTTGCACACACACACAAAACCCACCATTACATTAGAAAGCCATGTCCATAGCAGCTAATATAGCTGCTTTAATTTACAGAACAAAGAAAATCTTGAAATAGTCCACCGTCCATCAAATGCTAATTTGATCTGACAATAGGGAACTAGAATATAACCTAATTTTATTGCAACCCATCTCTGACAAACATTGATATTTTTGTCCAGTTAAGTCTGGTTTCCTTCTGCTTTATCAGGTTGGATTAATTTGCAAGTTAACCAACTTAAATAAACAAACAGGATTTGGGTTTTTTGCTGAAATGCTGCACTACAAGTCTAGGATTTACAACTGTTCATTACTAACTTGCTATATGAAGCAGTTAAAAGATAAGATACCAACTGTCTCCACCTCACAATGTTGCAATCTCTTGATAACACTGCTCGACTATTGCCAAAGACATAGAATACCGTATAAAGACCAGATGTACATCATTGTCAAGAAAATGTGTAGCTATTATTTCCCACCATCTTTTATTTTAATAATTCGTGCTACTGTATATCACTATTTATTAACCTTGACAACTTGCAGATGTGTGGACTTCAACTGTCAAGCTGCCTGGGGAATTCTGGGAGTTGAAGTCCCCCCTTCTTCAAGCTGTCAAGGTTGAGAAACATTTAAGTAGACTACAATGTTTTTATAAACATTTGCAGCAAAAAATGAATGCATAAAAGTATAGGTAATCCTTGACTTATGACCATTTGTGTAGTGACCATTCAAAGTTACAATGGCACAGAAAACTATGATTTATGACTGTTTTCCACACTTACGACTGTTGCAGAATCCCCATGGTCACGTCATCAAAATTTAAACATTTGTCAACTGGCATGTACTTACGAGTTGCAGTGTCCTGGGGTCATGTGATCACCTTTTGCAACCTTCTGACAAACAAAGTCAATGGGTAAGTCAGATTCATTTAACAATCGTGTTATTAACTGCAGTGATTCACTTAACAACTATGGCAAGAAAGGTTGAAAAACGGGGCAAAATTCACTTAACAACTGTCTTGCTTAGCAATGGAAATTTTGGACTCAATTTTAATTGTAAGTTGAGGACTACCTATATACATTCATTTAAACCTTCTGTAAATTCTGTTTGAATAGAACACATTAGTAACTCAAAACGTGATGTAACTTTTATTAAAAGTACCTTAGAAGCACCAAAGTAGCAAACATTTTAAAATTTTACATGTCAAAATAAATAGATGTTTACATTTTTGTTTATGATTTTTATTTAGAACTATTTCTAAATGCAAGAAGCTATATTTTTCATCTTGTTCTATATTTTGTACATTTATATTACTCCCTATTTTCCAAGGAATTCAAGGTGATGTATACTGTT